TGTACTTTCGTGTTTTAAGTTCTATGACTATACCTTTAGAAGAATTCCAAAGAAAATCAAAGATATTTACACCATGTTAGATATTTATTTATGTACTATTCATCCATCAATCATATGTAAGAAAAATACTTTTGTTTTATTCAATCTATCATTGAGGAGCGCTCAGTGTAGCGTAAATAAATCCGATTTCGAACAATTTATAAAAAAAATAAAATGATTATGGAAGATTTTTATTTTAGATAAGAATGTTGATTTGTAACACCCATTTGACCGAAAAATTTAAGTTTTAAAAGAAACTAAACGATTTTTGAGTATAGAATATTAATTTGCTAAAAAAAAGTAGTTTCAATCTGTTATGAATAAAATTCAGTAAAAATGTAATTAATTGTTTATGACGCTGATTTAGCTCGAGCCAGATATCTATCCTTTCATGATAAACTTCAGTCCCATCCAAATTCGTTTGTTTCCACTCTTGCTTCTTCTTCGATCCCTGATAATCCTCCTAGGCGTCTGAAAAGGAGATGGCCTCGTGATCTTCTTACTTAAAATTATTAAGGGAGTGCTACCACTGGGTAGTATCTCTTCAAGCCTGTACATGCCATTATTTATAATTTGCGCATATTTACTAGTTGTATCTGTATACAGTTGTAAATTTCATTAAATAAACAAGAAAAAAAAATTGTTTATAGAGGATGTCTAAGACGGATATGTAAGACCTGGTGTCAGTAATTTTCATTGTTCCGAAATCGGTTCATGGGTACTCATAATTTACCTTGTGGATGCACCTATGTAAGGATTTTACCTGTGCTAGAATTACGTCGAGTTTCCCTAAATAAAATATGAATGTCAAAGATAAGCATTAAATGTCACGGTGTTAAATCTTCTTGAAATCTTATTAACTTGAAATTAAGTATCGCTGAAACTTTCTACATATCAGATTTTTTATATATTGTTTTTTAGTCTGTTACAATTATTATAAGTATGGTGAGGGCCGGTGATTCAGTATTTACAATAATAAATGGTATGTTACATTTTTAATTTTAGCTGTATTTGTAACCTTGTATTTTTATTTTAACTTTCATTTTATTTTTTAACATTTTTTTTGCGTTTTAACTTTTAATTTCAATTAGATGATTAATTTTCAATTTGGTAATTAATTTCCAATCCCTAAAAATATATAATTTTATCCTTTTAAAGGTTGTAAGATTTTATTTGTTATTTTAAGTTTTGTTGACTTTCAAGTAAACATTTTTTGTTTTTGAATATTAACTTAAATTTAGAGGGAAAACGTTCCAGGTAGTTGAAAAGTCTAAAAAATTTATATAAATGAATCTCCTTAAATGTTTATGTAGATTGTTAAATTGGTTACTGTCAGTTTTTTTTCTTCATCAGTTACTCCAGTTAAATATATCTTTAGTTTTAGCGTCGAAATTGTTGATGTTTTAAAAATAATTTATTTAAATTAAAAATATTTTTAATATATATTATAATCTTAAATAGCAACTTCGCTATATATTTTTTCTCAATATAAATAGAATACAAGAATTTTAAAAGTTAGAGGTCGAAGATCATCAAGTATGATTTTGTTTTTGTTATCTTTTATTTTATTTTTTTAAATATTCCAATAAATTTTCAGATTCACAATATTTTTAGACCCGTGAAAAATATTAAATTAACACTAAATTTTGTAATTATTTACCAGTTTTAGAGTAAATGCTTGTCATGGACACATAATTATATGCACTTTACTTTGTGTAGTTTTTCACGACAAAGATAATGACAATAATTAATTCGTTTTCTTTAATTTTAATCATTTTTATAACAAGGAAAATATATATTTCGAAATAATAAATTTTTTTAATGATGAATTACATTTTAAAAAATCGTTGTTTATTTTTATAATAAAAGCACTGTGTAAGTTCGAGATGACACTTGCGTTCTTAATTGATTACAATAATTTACATTCCTAAAATTGTATGTATTTATTGGATGAGCCTAAGTCGTGTTGAAAAAAAAAAGATAAACTTATCACGGAAAACTAAAGGAGAAAAACTAAAAAGGAAACGAGGCGGAAGTGGGAGAAAATGGAAATTTCGGATGGGAAGGTCATAGGTTTTAGTTTGGTCGACGAAGGACTAACGCTTAGTCGCAAAAAAAAAACAAACGAGGAAGTAAAAACTAGTACTTAATCAACTTCTGCTGCATTTACTTATTTGATCACCGATTATTATAATATATTAAGAAACTGTATTGTATATAAATCATTAAATGTATTTTATTTCCCAAATGTTCTAGGGTATACCTTTGCCAGTACTGAAATGAATTTCCTTTTATACCTCATTTACTACAGTTTATTTCATAGTGCATTTACTTACATATATACTTAATAATACTTCAAAAGATATCTTTGCAATCGCATCTAACAAGTCAGGTTTATTAAAACGTTACCGTATCATTAAAAAAATTTGCAGAAGTTTATAAATATAGCTTCTTAAAATATGTTCATTTTATAATTTTTTTAAAATGAATTCTATAAACATATATATATTTTTCCAGCTTCTTTTGTATCTTTATGTTTACTTGTTCGTATGGCTTCAATACGATTCTTGCCAGTAATTGATAGGTTTTTCCTCACTTGAATGGCCTTGTGAAGATAATTTCGTAGTCACTTTTAATTATAATGATTTTTCTATCTAGAGTTAATAATAGTCTCAGAGAACCGGTAAGAAGAAACATTGATGTGCCCGAATCAGTCTATTCATAATGTAAATTTCTCTCTGCTTCTGTAAGGTGTCATTATTATGATTTGGCAAATGTAAACATTATTATATTCCCATCACAATTTCTTTAAATTCGAATTATTGATTCGATCAACATAAAATAACTCCTGGCTTAGTGAATTAAAAATAAATTTTTACAACCTGTAATTTTGTTATTTCACAACAGGACCCATAAGAGTAACGGTGAATGATGAAAATTCATCAAACAAATTTTCTGACGACGATGGGAAAAGCATTCCACGAAACGTCAAAATAAAACGTCATACTGAAATAATAAAAAAAATTAAAAGAACCTAAATTGTCAATAAAGTTATGAAAATTAGAACTGTATAATTTAACGAAACAATGGAGAATTCACACTGTTTAATTCTTAAGTGGTGTTATTTAAATTTTAAAATATTAAAAAGCCTTTCTAAAAAGTTCGTTAGAGTTATAATAAAACAATGATCTTAATATGTATTATTTAAGAATAATTTTTATTGTTCTTTTAAAGATTTTTTAAAGTTTTAAAGTTTCTTTTAAAGACTTTTAAAGATTTTAATATGTATATATATATTTTTTATCAAGAGTTATTTTTTATTGCAATTAATAGTCTTATCTGCCCTGTTATCTATTTATTTTTAACTAACCAACATTTTTGTTTATTATTAAAAATATGTGTGTTAATAATACCTTAACAGTAATTAAGGTTAATAATTTGATTTTAATTTATTTAGTCATTTGAGCCTTTAAAATATTTCTGATGAATTTTGACTTATTTGATCCAATAAAACTAAGAGGAATTCTGTAAGAATTTTGATTTATCACGTAAATGAGACATTTTAGGCTTTAAAATGCAGTGCTCTTAACGTTTTTTTTTTAACTATATCAGATCTTTTGATGTCTGCGGCGAAATCGTTAAACCATAATATATCTTGATTCGTCAACTTTTGAAACCAACGGGGTTTCGAAACCTTCCAATTTTTTTAGAACTGTTTTTGTAAATTTAAGGATCGAGATTACGTTTCGTCACTTCTCCATAAATTCTTTTTTGTCATCTTCCTCACCCGTCAGAATCAATGCTTCCATAAGATACGATAAAACTTATGGTTACCTTTAAAATTAAACTTAAAAAAAAAATTTAAACTAGCATTTATAAGATATTGTAGTTGTCAAGCAATGAAAAAAAAAAAATAGCAGACATAAGTAAACATAACATCGCTTCATAAAAACACCACCTGTGGTTTAATAGGATTAAATACCAATGTGTTGACATAGGTGTGCGGCCATTGATAACAATCAAAATTCTAAATTATATTTGTTATTATCTATATTAATTCTCTTTGTGCTAAAGGTGACATTTTATCGTCTGCAACTGCAATAAATGTTCTAATACTATGGAAAATAATATATGGAAATAAAATATGAAATTATACATGTAAATTATAAATAAATAATCAGTTTTTATGCCCTTTTGTAAAAAAAACTCAATTTTTATAAACGATCTTTTGCTCTAACAGTAGTGATATGAGTAATTTATTTATTTTATAATTAATATTAATAATTTTTCAGGAAACGCGAAAATCTATGTTTTCTATTTCAATCACAGTATGAAAACCAATCTCTCTATTATATAAAACATTATTTAGTGACCGTGTCATATTTTATTTTATAGATAAATTATTTTATAGGACGGACTGGATCAAAGATACCAGACCTTTTATTCCCAAAATTATTTCTCACTTATCATAGTTACAAATTGGCTATAATAATACATTTAATTATATAATAATATAAATTGGCACGATGTGTACAATATTGATTTTTAAAGAAATTTAAAAAAATTCCGTACTCCTTTTTCGTACTGCTTATTTTATGTTGACAAAAAATATTACAATACATTTAAAGTTGTAATTTGAGCAACAAGTAGTACAATTAAATGAACAGTTGTATGATTTGTAAAATGGGGGTTGGTCCGCCGTGATTTAGACAGAGGGTACCTCCCTCATTCTTTTACATTATAATAATAGGTACTTCTAAATTTATGAAACCTATAACATGCTTGAAGGATGATTATCGTTCAATGTCGTCTTTATGGCATTTTCCGTCGCTCATTCGAACACTTCGTCAGTTAACGTTTCGAATTATTTACTATGGAAATGGACATAATTTTGCATTTACCGTTTCCTTTTTGGTACTCCTTATCGGGGACCACGTGACAGACTTCCTTTCTTGGCACAGGAGGACATCAGCTCGGCCGCAGTCCTGTGCCTGGCATCATCGAGTCAACACCTCTCTCTAGTCATGGATGTGCTTCTTCGGATCCACAGGCACTTCAATAGTAAGTTAGCGTACTATTATATCTAAGCATTCAAACGTTTTTATTACGCATGTATAAAATAGTAAAATGTTGTTTTTTTCTATTTATATCTGAGGATCTATTTATTTTTTATTTTATATCTGTTTATTCTAAATGAGCCTTTCCCAGAATAAATACAGCTTTTTTTTTTAAATAAATAAATGAAAATAGATTTACTAACACAACCGATTCTATAAATAATCCAAAATATTTCTTTAAAGTATTAATAATTAATGTAATATTAATGGTGATAAATTCTCACCGTAATTTATCAAAATACAGTGATATTTAACTACAATAATCTATTGTATTGTTCTTTATCTGTTATATTCAACTTAAAAAAAAAATAAAACTTAAACATGATTTAATCATAATTATGTCCAAGCTTATATAATTATTTTTCGTGTTATATTTTTACTTCATTTGCACAGTTGTAAATTTCATAAATAAATATTTTAAAAAAATACTTGATAATGTGCACTGATAATTTTACTTAATTAAAACATTAAATTAATAATTCATATTTTTTAAATATACCTTAAATATTCATGAATACTCTATATTTATTTTTATTTTATTCAAAGAAAAAAAAATTAATTAGTGGCTATTGTTTTGGCTAATTTCTGACGTTCGTTTAATTTCGATCTGATTGGACTTTGTCTCAGAATAATTAAGATTATTACATTTCATTATATCTTATAAATTATTCTTTAAAAGAAAATGGTATTCCCATGTATTAATAAAATTATTTTTAAACACGTTTTTATACCATATTGTTTTATATTTAATTAATATTATTTTAAATTACGTCGTAGTCATTTATTCATTTAAAATACTAATGGTTACCAATTGTGTTCGATATAAAAATTAATAGTATTTGGAAATTTTATTTGCGCGTTGTTTAGTTACATATGTGAACCAACAAAAACATTTGACTTCAGAAACGGCAGAGGTTAAAAAATACCAGAATGTCAAGAAAAGTAAATTATATTTAGTAGCAATTTTAATTGAATAAACGTTTAAAACAAATAATATATTTTATACTTAACCTTTTTCTAAATTTATATCGACTTACTTTTTATAAATTATGATGGATTTATGGCCTAGAAGTAATTTTCCCACTCATAATTTTTTTTTTCAATAAATAAATGCCTGCTATTAATTGAAACAGTAATTTAAATACCCACATTACATTGGAACGTCAGTGTTTCTTAGGTAGCTAATTTTATTTGCTAATCAGTTATTGACAAGCAAAATTTTATACAGCATCAATGCCGTTTAAATGGAAACGTATTAAGATGTTAATTTTTTCGGGTGTGTATTCATTAGTCGAATTATGAAGTTTCAATTCATAACAGTGGTGTAATAATAATTTAAAAATTATTACACTATTATTTTTTATAAATAATTATATATCCAAATTTACAAAGATTAAAAAACACATTATATTTTCTCCATATATTCTTAAATGACAGATATGTGAGTATATGGAACTTCTAATTGCGTTCTACATTGAAACAAAAGGTAAATGATAATGTTGAGTTTAAGATCATTCTGGAAAAACTACAGATGGCGGACTGAATGTTTTTATTATTTTTTTTTATTCCATGTTTTATTATTATTAAAACGTAAAATCGCAATGGGATACTTTTCTTCTCGTCCTCGATTACAAAGGTTCATTTTCGAAAATAATAAATAAACACTGAAAATGATTAAATAAATCGGAATAATTATGTATCATAAAAACAAAAATATATTCAATAACTAATTTCTAAAAACCATCTATCCTTTCTGTTTAAAAGTTTCATTGACCTGTACTTTTTTTACCTTCATTTGTATATTTATGTAATATATAGTACGGTTAAGTATTGCGATCGTAAAATTTTTTTAATCTGAGTTTTCAACGGAAATACACTTTTTGAGGTCTCCTGAGTCCATATAACAACCATGTCTCGCAAAATGGTCTGTGTTTATGTGAACAGTCTAGATAAAAAACGAAACTTCATACTCAACTGATATTACGTATTTAAGATAGGTATATATATATGCCTTAGATGTCACAGTAACTTTTCCCTTAAAATCGGCTAACCGGAAGTGCCACTTTATGTCAAGGGTGTAACACATTTTTACAATCTTCTCAAAAACGACTCCAACGATTTTTATTTAACTCGGTGCATCATTGTATAATTAAGTGGTCTTTAATATAATTTACGTCTTATCCTCATTGATGTCACTTTACAGGTCTTAAATGTTCTACCTCTCCTTCTAAAGTACCTTCAATATGGTTTATTTTAAAAAAAGAACTCTCTTTTATTAGCAGTAATTATAGAAAATGGCTAAATGTGGAGTTTGAAAGAATATTTGCCCAAATGTCCAAAACCCGTCTTGGTCTCACATTTGGGCAACACTAATATTAACGCACTGGTGATGTTTTTCTGATGCGATATTATGTTTACTGCAGTACTTATGTTAATTGTCAGTACTTGAGAAGTGCAACATCTTACAAATGTTGCTTCCAATAATTTTTTCTTCAATGTTTAATTTTAAAGATAATCATAACCTTGATCGTGTCTTATAGATTCATCCCCTAACTGTCAGGATGTAGGTTTTTTTTTTTTTTATTCATTTATAAATTCTAAATTATTAATGGCTCGTTATTTGTCGACTTCAAATCAGCCTATGACTCCGTTGACAGAAACTGTCTTTGGAAGATCATGACTGAGGTGGGTGTTCCCGGGGAAGTGAGGTTGACGAAGGCGTGTACAATTGATCCTAAATGCAGGGTACTAATACAAGGAGAAGTATCTGAAGCCTTTGAAGTTCGAGCGGGTTTGAGGCAGGGAGATGGACTCTCGCCGATGCTGTTCAACTTAGCACTAGGAAAAGTAATAAGAATAACACCACGCGAAGATGGAGGGATGCACGTTGCAATGAAACATAAAATCCTAGCATATGCCGATAATGTAGCTGTCCTCGGAAGTAATCAAGAGGATATTGAGAGACTCGCTCGGACTCTGTTAAAAGAAGCAGAGCAAATCGGACTACAGATCATTGTAGATAAAACAAAATACATGATAGTTAGCCGGAACATCCACCCTAATAACATGATCTGGGTGGACTCTAAGCCATTCCCGAAAGTAGACAGATTCAAATACCTCGGCTCCACAATAACCTCAATAAATGATCAACTAACAGAGATAGACCAGCGAATAACAAGTCCAAACCGATCTTTCGTCTCTTTTTCAAAGGTACTGAAAATTCTTCAGAAATCTCAAAATAAGGGTGTACACCGCCGTGATTAAGCCAGTTCTGCTGTACGGTTGTGAAACCTGGGCTCCATACGGCACATTAGAAGCCAGCATTGTGAGATTCGAAAGAAAAGCTCTACGTAGGATAACAGGACCTATATGGGACCAGAATCTTGACACATGGAGGAGAAGGAAGAATATAGAACTGCTTAAAGAAACGGGCCAGTCAATATCTCATGACATGAAGGCAAGGAAGTTAAGATGGGCAGGGCATGTATCTCGTAGCAATCCATCAGGACTCCTTTACACGATAATGAATGCCAGAGTAGTAGGCAAGAGAACACGTGGAAGGCCAAAAACCAGATGGACAGATAGAATCAACAAAGACTCAATAGATCTATGTGCTGATAGCTGAAAAGAAATAGTGCAAGACAGGCAGTGATGGAGCAGGCAAAGATCTATAAGATCTGTTATGCCACAAAAAAAAAGTAAAATAAAATTGGATATCATGATTTGATTAATAAAAATGATTTAATAGCTCACAAGAGAACACGTGGAAGGCCAAAAACCAGATGGATAGATAGGATAAACAAAGATACGGTTGAGCTTCATGTCGCAAACTGGAAAGCAGTAGCCCAAGATAGGCAGAGGTGGAGAAGGCTGGTTCAAGCGGCCAAAGATCTACAAGGTCTGTAGAGCCAACCGAAAAAAAAAAAAAAGTGGCTCATCATTAATTACAAGCTGATCCCCTGAAGCAACAGATCATTTAATTACGCATTATAAGGTGAAATGATCGTTTAATTAAATTTAAAATAATAAATTGAATACATGATGGTTGAGTGCGGTGTATTATTCAGTAAGAAGACGATCCGGGGTATAAAAAGACTAAAATATTAACAAACTATTTTACTTGAAGCCAACGTTTCGAGCTGACTTTGCTGGACTTCTTGTGGGAGTTGTATGCAGTAGGGAGTTTCAATTGAAACTGCTATAATTTATTTGAAACTACTATTAATAGTTTCAACTGAAACTCCCTAATGTACTTGTTTCCCTCTGAAGAAGACCTGCTAAGTCGGGTCGAAACGTTGGCTTTAAATAAAATAGTTTGTTAATATTTTAGTATTTTTATGACCGCCACTCCGGATCATCTTCTTACTCTAAAATAATAAATCAACGAAATGTTAATTGCAGCCTATACTGTCATAGGCCTATACCCTTTTATATTACTTCAAAACATTATTAACAAGAAATACGATTTCGTTTTTTAATTGTTATCAATGTTTACTATTGATATTAAATTCTATTAACCCGCAGGGGGTGTTTTTCTGATGGGATGTTATGTATACTTAAGTTTGTTTTTTCATTACTTGGCAAATTCAATATTTTACAACTGGTACTTTCGGTAATTTTTTTTTTTTAGGTTTATTTTTAAAGGTAATCTCATAACTGTGATTGTATCGGATTGTATACGGAAGCATTGCCTAACGGTCAGGATGTATTTTTTTTTTAAATTTATTAATATATTCCATATGACTAATAACTGATTATTCTTGTGGTTAATAATCATTATTTAACACAAGCTTATCTCCTAACGCAACAGATAATGATTGTTATCAACGCCCGCACACCTATGTCAACTCATTTATATTTTATTGTTTGTTATTGATCCTATTAAACCACAGGTGGTATTATGTTCTTTATTACTTGCGTTTGATTATTTTTTTCTCAGTATCC